CTCTCTCTCTCGAAGTTGCGGTGAATTACTTCAGAAATATTTTTCTTCTCCCAAAACCTAACTTAACATTGGATTGAAAAACATTAGAAATATATTGTCAGCTCTGATCTCACGCTGACTTTATAACACGCAATCTCTTAACTCAATACCCCTTCTTCTCTCGGTCTCCAAACGTATAGCAAATATACAAATAAAAAATTTTATGATTTCTTTTTGTATTCATTTGCGACAATGAATTCATAAAATTGTATTAATTGTAAGTTTTTTGGCATTCCTTTTGAGTTAACAATTTATCTCTTGGTTTACGATTTGTGTGAAAAAATTAAACAATTTTGTGAATTACATAAATTGTGTGAAAATAATTTAACAATTTGTCTCATTTATAGATTGTATCAATTTTTTGCTCTTGAATTTGTTAATCAAATTTAAATTGAAAATTATATTGAAATTAATATTCTCATACATACTGTCTGTTTAGAAATCATTTTAAATAAAAGTTTAGAGGATTTCTTTAATAAATTAGTTATGATTTATACATTTATTTATTGCAAATAAATTGATTTATATTTCAATTTAATTGAAATAAAGAAAAGGATATCATATTAAATATAATTTATAGCTAAACATGGGATGAACTCATTTCAAGTTCATTAGCAATAAAAGCTATCAGACTTTTCATTATTATATAATATATTTATTCGAGAATTGTATTCAAAACTAAGAAAGAAGTGTTTTATTTTACACTTTTTGTGTTAAACATGTTTTTACTTATATTACTTCAAAAAACAGAAACAATGAAATCAGATATTTTTGTAAAAATATATAAATTATTCCTCATTTTGATGAATTTAAATCTAGTTTGGGTTCAAGTTTACAATGTTTTTCATATTATTTATAATTTATAGCTATTTATAGAGATTATGATGTGCTCTAAAACAGTTAATTATAGCGTGTGTACAATGAATAGCAATTTTGATTGTTATACACCGTATGAATATATTATTTCAAATTCATTAGCAGTTTGTTTTGTGTGTAATTATTCAGTAATTTATAAGAAAAAGTGTAATAATAATTCTTATATTTTTTGTAATATTGTTATATTTAATATATAATATTTTGAGAACTTCTTGTATAACAATAAGAATGTTAACAAATAAGTCTTGTGTTAAACGTATTTATTATACGCTTGTATTAAAAGATATTTTGTTGTTATGTCTAAACAATGTCTTATATTGTATTGATAGGCGAGAAGTGAGTATTAAAGAGCAGATGTGACTTTCAATTAACTTAATTTACTTAATTCTCGTCTCTTTTATTGAGTGCAAACATATTTTTCACCATCTATTGCTTACTCTCAACTTATTCTTCACTTTTTCTATTTGTTTGCATTCATTGACTTATATAATGTGTATTTTCCTATCTTGTAATCAAACAAGGCTCTGACCATCATTCATTTTTATTAATTTCTTATAACAGTAATCCATTGACTGTTATTTTGTATAATATATAATTATCAACTTGTATTTAGTATATCTGAATATTTGATAAAAACTAAATAACAACAACTAATAATTTTTGAATATTTAATATAATTCAATATAAATTCTAAAACGATGTCAGATATCAATTAAAAACTTTCAAAAGGGATTTTAATTTAAATGCAGAAATCTTAGATTATTATTATTTAATCATAATTTAAATCTTTAATTTCGTTCAAACTTCAAAACTAATTGTTAAAACCGAGGATAGGTTTAGCATGTTTTCAAAATGAATTTTATTAATTAATGCAAATATTTACGAAATGTGATATTTATTACATAATCATTTATAATATGAAACTTTAAACAAATCAAAATAAATAATTACACATAAAAAATAAAAATATATTATTCTAAACAAGTTTCAGACTAAACATTTAGGAAATATGATTTATTATATAGTTTTTTTGCTCTGTATTTTATCTTACGTTTGAAATTCTGTACTCTTTTGATAAATCCTTTAAGAAACGATAAATTCATATTCAATTATTCAAACAATAATTGATCCAAAGATTTGTCTTTTTTGTGCCAATAAATAATTGAGAAAAAGATTGATTTTAGTTCTGGACGACAACCATATCTTGTCGAGAGGGAGACAAGTATTAGTTTGTCGACCGAAATGATTAATTTGATTGTATTATACGAATAGTTATGTCTAACGAATGTATGAATTTTATTGTATGCATTGTATTGTATTGGTTGTAAGGAGGAGTAAAGTTACCACAACTTTAACAACACAATAATTGTAACAATTGAAGGGTTTTTGTAACAATTGGGTTGAATTAGGATTGAATTGTGGTATGAGTTGATTGGAGAGCACCTTCTGGTAATCAACTCCCGATAAACCCAGTGTTTGATGCAATCGACTGTTTATCTCTGGTCTCATCTCTTGTCTACTAATTATGTGGTTTTGGGTTCTTTAGTATTAAGCCCTGACTTGTGCTCACATTACGAGTTGCCATAAGTATTATAAGTAAAAGCATTTGACAAATGACTTTCTCTTATCACAACAACACATCTCATATTGCATTGAATGTGTGGTCCGACACCTAAGATATAGTAAATCAAAGCCAAACTAACTGTCATTGATATATATTTAGAAAAATGACTTTTTCTTTATCCTAAGCGCTAGTATTATATTTGTTTAGATTCTGTCGTCTCTTTCACTACAATTTGCCGCCGATTAGGCACTGAGTTCTTGTCGTATATCACCGGTCAGTTGTCTCCCTTAGAGAGTGAAAATGCCTTTCAGTTATATAAACCATCGTTTCGATGGATCCCATGTGAAGACTTACCATATGTTTCTAGTCCTCCATTCTGTTGAGACATTTGTTTTATTTTTGCCATTCATTTCTGTCTTCGTGTCTCTCGTCTCATATCAGTCATCATTCAAGTCATACACTCTTCGCTTTAAATGTTTCGCACAATCAATGAATAACTCAATAATGTTTTTATATTATGCCATAAATTATACAATATATTAGGAATTGTTGCCTTTATTTGTATAGAAATTGTTGAGTTGTAGTGCAAAGTCATGTCTTTTTGCGAGACTAATGTACCAAAAGTTGTACCAAAAGTCATATCTAAAGCTCTGTTGCATTTCCACTGCAAACATAATTTAATAATTTTTTGACATCACTTTAATTTTATATCAAGTAAATTGTTATTTATGTTAAGTAACCACTTCTCCACCACTCGTAACAACTCTTAACAACCCATTCAATACTAATTAAGGAAAAATCCTAAATTTAAATTAACACTGCATTTGCTTTAAAAGTGCTATAATTTTAAAACAGACATTGATTTGAAATTTGTAGACAACATTAGATCAGAATATTATACGAAATGAATAATTAATTTGTTAATTCAATTAGACTGAGTGTGAGTGAGAATCGGACACATTTTGTTGACTATCATTTGTTGCCATCAATAATATAAGAGATGATTGAATTATACGTTTAGAGAATAGGAAAAGAAAGCACTCGTTATTATAGACTAAAACACAAACCACTTTCGCAAACAAAACTAAAAGCAGGAAAGCATTTCACGTAGTGTTCATACCTTCCCAATCATGACTAGTCTGGCCATCCCTTCCAAACGTATATTTATATAATTATTTAGTTTTGTTGAATTAATTTGATTTTCTGGGATAATTGAGTTCAATTCAGATCTGTTTATTTAATACCCAATGAATTATTTATTCATTTATTATACGAATGGAAAAAATAAAAACACATAGACGTCGAATCCATGCGAAATGTTTGTATATATAATGTCCTAATTTTATGAGGACTTAAATATTTTCATATAATATCATTGATTCAATCATATATTTCAGACAAATATTGTTCAGAGACTGGGTTTGTGAGGCAAACCTAACATACAATAGGGGTTTTTCTGTAGCTTTAATTTTGTTATGTTATGTGCTTTGAGAGCACTTATTGTTTTATGGCCCGAAGCTATTGTGCCACCGATGCCACCAACGAAGCAAATTATATTAACGGTTCCATACATTTGCCAAACAATTCTTTGTTCAACAAAGTGTCAGATCTATAATAGAATTCATAACAAAGTTTTCCTTTCAATCACTTTATCTATTAAAAGACGTGATTCTTCAGACACTTTGGTTAACGCTATTAATATTTCACTTACTATTGGCTATTATCTCGTATCAGTTTAAATGCATTTTCAAACGGAATCTGCATTCAATTCAAATCTACTATAATTATAGTGTAATTAATGGCCAAAAGCGTGGCTCACTTTATGCATTAGGCATTACAGGACTATTAACTTGTATTGTTTTGTGAAATTTATACATCAACAGAATTTTTGCACATAATTAGTATCATTGAATGAAAGTGAGATCGTTTACAAATGCCTTAAAGCCCGCAAATATATGCCTAAAATATGGTATTCACAAAAAATTATTTAAATTCTTGTAATTCAATGCAATAAGTGTTTCAATAATTAAATTAAAAATTTTAAAACTAGAAACTAAAATAAACATGATTATAATAATAATGATGAACTAATGATATGTATTGAATATGTTGATAGCGTGTAACTGCAACCTTCACGCCCGCAAGTGTCGCTTTAATATGGAATTATACAAACTCTCCGGTCGTAAGAGTGGAGGTGTTTGTCTCAAGTGTCGGCACAACACCGCTGGAAGACATTGTCATTATTGCAAAGAAGGTATCAATCAATTATTGAACTCTTTTTACTGCATTTCTAGTGAATAATAACTGCAAATAGAAAATTGTTTTATCAAATAAACCATTAAATTGTTATTCCAATTAACTTTATTTTGGATTTAGTTTTATATTCTGCTCGATATATAGTATAAATAAATTACTCGTTTTAGCAGTTTATCATTTTGTTTAATAATATTTAATGTTTTCCAAACAATTGAAGTCAAGTGATCCTAACATTAAGTCTATAAGAGCGGATCGTATTATCAATGCTTGAGATATAATATTTAAAAGTCTATATATTTATTAAAACCATTTTCTAAGTTTATTCTGTGTTATTAATTGTTAGGCTATTATCGGGACACAAGTAAACCCATCGCTCATAGGAAGGCGTGTAAACGTGAGTACACTTTGGATTTGATTTTGTAGCAATTATTGATATACTTTTCTCATGATATTAACTGCAAATATTTTTACACATAAATATGTTTGGCCTAAAAGTAAAGCTTTTGGTTTAATTAGCTTTAAATTAACGCTTTAATGTGTATTTTAGTGAAAACTTAACACAATCTTATCAGACGTGAAGTTTTTTTGCCAACTTTGCAAACATTTCAAAATATAACAAAGAATATCCTAAAATATTATTTGAGTGTCTTATAAAAACTAACAAGAGATAGTAGTACTTATATGAAACTTATTAAATAATTTAAGAATTTTTACCGAATTTTATGGTCCTTAACTTTCATATGTGTTTATATCTCTTAAGTTTATCGATTAAAATTACATTATTAAATAAGTGTATTGTATTTAAATCTATTAAAGTTAGTTTAAAGCGAAATATTTATAACTTCTAAATATAAATCTATTTTTATTCCTATTTGTTTTGTTAAGAAATATTTGATGATATTTTATGATATGTTTGTCAAGTAATTGTCACTCAAAGTAAGGATTGTATGTTTGAAAGAATTTTAAGAAGAAAAATAGTTGTGAACCAGAATTAAAGCCATAAATACATTATTATGTGATTCAATATCCATTTAATGGATTATTTTCGCCATTGTACTCTATAGTATGTTAAACTTATAAATTCCGAATTAAGTTTGAAGTAACACAATATGTAAAATAAATTAAGTTACTGTTTTTAACTTAGATAAACATCTTTGTAATTTGTTTATAACGAAATCATCTGTAAACCAATTATTACTTTTCACAAATATTTGTAAAGTTATATATATAATTTGTTATATAATAGTATGTGATTGTCATCCGGTGGGCAGTTCGGGTCGCAATTGCAACATAACCAGTGGTCAGTGTCAGTGCAAACCTGGTGTGACTGGCATTAGTTGCAACCGATGTGCTAAAGTAAGCTTACTATCAATTACCTCAACAATTGCTATTCAATTCATATGTGTGTTTTTGCCACAATTAGGGATATCAACAATCGAGATCTCCTGTCCAGCCCTGCATTAGTAAGTGATTATATTGTCGATAATGTTCACACAATTTCAACACCTAATCGCATGCTATTTCTATGAGTTTAATACAGTAATTAAATGCAATTCAATTTATTGCCAAAAATAGCTTTCAATTCATTTATTTTTGCAGAAATTCCTCAAAATAATGACATATCGTTTGCATCGATGGAGACGACATCAGAGCCCGACTCCGGTATAAAATATTTGATTTAATACATGAGATATCATACAATTTGAATATTTAAGGCTTAATTCAAACTTCATTGTGTTATACATTTTATTTAATTCAATGACAAAAATTGAATCTATTTGTAGAAACATTAAACAAATATTGCTTTAGTAAACCAATTATTACTTTTCACAAATATTTGTAAAGTTATATATAATTTGTAATAGATTATTGAAATATTTATTTATGGTACATATTTATAACATGCAATAGTATGTGATTGTCATCCGGTGGGCAGTTCGGGTCGCAATTGCAACATAACCAGTGGTCAGTGTCAGTGCAAACCTGGTGTGACTGGCATTAGTTGCAACCGATGTGCTAAAGTAAGTTTACTATCAATTGCCTCAACAATTACCATTCAATTCATATGTGTGTTTTTGCCACAATTAGGGATATCAACAGTCGAGATCTCCTGTCCAGCCCTGCATTAGTAAGTGATTATATTGTCGATAATGTTCACACAATTTCAACACCTAATCGCATGTTATTTCTATGAGTTTAATAATTAAATGCAATTTAATTTATTGCCAAAAATAGCTTTCAATTCATTTATTTTTGCAGAAATTCCTCAAAATAATGACATATCGTTTGCATCGATGGAGACGACATCAGAGCCCGACTCCGGTATAAAATATTTGATTTAATGCTATGTTTTGGGGGAAAATGAATCATTGATTTACTGATATATTAATATTATTATTTGTGATTTAGGGGACAGTTGTTCCACATGTCAGGCCTCCACCAAAAGAGTAAATCTGCGTAAATATTGCAAAAGAGATTTTGGTAAGTCATCCACAGTTGTATTGCAAAACTATCAGCTCTACAGTCATAGTAATAGTGATAGTGATAGTGATCGGGACTTTAATAACACGGATGAATGGTGTGCTTAACTTATGTCTGATGAGAGGATATCCCTTGAGCTAAGGGCTAGTCTATAGTCTGGTTGTTGTTGTAATAATACATTGAGTGCTGAATGCGAGTCGCGGTCGCAAATGTGTGCCCAAAACCTATTGCAATCAAACTAAAGACTTTACTGTTGAGACGTGCGTTGGACTCGTTTATAGACATGTATCCATCCATCGATGGAGTCGAGTGTTTGCAACTCCTCTTCTCTCTCTCTCTCTCTCTCTCTCTCTCTCTCTCTCTCTTTGTATATCACATACCCTAACGATGCATTCGTCAGTAATACCTATGATAGGCAACAATGTCAGCATCCCTTCATCCCCCGCATCCCTGATCT